TCTAACTCAAAAAAAAAAAAAAATTAGCCGGGCATGGTAGTGCGCGCCTGTAGCTCCAGCTACTTGAGAGGAAGGATTGCCGGAGCCCAGCAGGTCAAGGCTGCAGTGGCCGGGAGCGTGCCACTGCACTCCAGTCTGGGCAACAGGGTGAGACTCCAACTCAAAAAAAAAAACAACAACTACTGCTAAAGTAAATTTATCTGAGATTGTGCTACCACGTTAAGCAAGGGAATGAGATTTAAAGAGGTAGAAATCACTGACTTCACACAGAAGGAAGGTCTCCTTCCCTTTCAGTAACTAGCCCTCAAATCTATCACAGTACTTTGCAAATGTTCCCTGAGAAACATGTTCCTTTAAATTTACAGGAAAATAAAACAGTTATAGTAAAATCTTACCCAGATTCACAGAATGACTCACTGATAAATGAGAACTTATATCCAGTGATACCCAACAAGCCACATTTCTTGCTGTACTCAATTCCTATATTTATAAAAATATATATGTGAATATATATAAACATATATATATAAGTATATGAATATATATGTATTTTAGGAGGAAAACATATTGTCTAAAATAAGTGACAAATTTTGTCTTTGAAGCAGAAATGTAAGAGCTTCTCCAGTCTTATTATACCAGATAAAAATCTGAAATTTCTGGTTTATCAAAACAGATAATGGAAATGACTAAGATGTGCGTATGCACACAGGTGCATGGATACAAAAGCTATGATCTGAATGCTTGTGTCCCCCTACAAATTCATATTGAAATCCTAACCCCCAACGTGACAGTATTAAGGAGGTGGGGTCCTTGAGAGGTGAGTAGGTCATGAAAGATTTAGGGCCCATAAAAAACCCTTTCTACCATGGGAAGCCATGGTGAAAAGAAAACAGTCTATGAATCAGTGAGAAGGCCCTCAGTAGGTATCAAATCTGCTGGTGACTTCATCTTGGATTTCCCACCTCCAGAAATGTGAAAAATAAGTTTCTATTGTTTAAAAACTAAGCAGTTTATGGCATTTTGTTATAGCAGCCCAGATGGACTAAGACATACATACATACAAGGAATATGTTACACTGTCTTATTTAATTCTTACTATTAGTTGAGATGGAAATTACTTCCATTTGCAGATAAAATTTAAGGCTCACAGCAGTTATACACTTAACTATGATATCTACATATCATAACATGCACATAATTTTGTTAATTTTCTCTAGTACTTTTTATCACCTACACTGTAATATTGTAAGGTTTAAGTGTCAGTCACATACTTGTGTACCTGTTTGACCTAATCATCAGTCAGGTACACATTTAAATAATTTAAGGCCAGGCACAGTGGCTCATGCCTGTAATCCCAGCCCCTCGGGAGGCCGAGGTGAGAGGACTGCCTGAGCCCAGGAGTTGGAGACCAGCCTGGGAAACTTGGCGAGATCTTGTCTCTACAATAAAAATAAAATATGCCGGGCTCGGTGGCTCAACCTATAATCCCACACCTTTGGGAGGCTGAGGTGAATGGATTGCCTGAGCCCGCGGGTTCGAGACCCGCCTGGGCAGGCAAGACCTCATCACCACAATAAATCAAAAAAATTAGCTGGGCGTGGTAGTTCCAGCTACTTGGAGGGCTGAGGTGGAAGGATCACCGGAGCCCAGCAGGTCGAGGCTGCGGTGGCCAGGAGCAGCCACTGCACTCCAGTCTGGGCGACAGAGTGAGACTCCAACTCAAAAAAATGAATAAATAAATAAATAAAATAAATAAAGAAATAAAAATATTAGCCAGGCATAGTGGCACACACCTGCAGGTCCAGTTACTTGGAAGGCTGAGGTAGAAGGATCACCTGAGCCCAGCAGGTTGAGGATGCAGTGGCTGTGAATGTGTAACTGCACTCTAACTTGGGCAAAAGTGAGACTTCAACTTAAAAATAATAATAATAATAACTTAAAAGACAAAATTTCAAAAATATTTGTTTCTGTAGGTTAATGTAAAATATATTGATGCAAAAACAAGAAAATCTATATGTCTAATTAAATTATAATTTATTTATACTAACTTTTTGTGAACAACACACTACACATAAATTTTAAGATAGAAAAGGTGGCATAACCCTCTTAAGTCCAACAGATTTGAGCCAAAATCAAGTTCCTCTAGTTACTATAATATGCACAAAACACACAATAAAATAATTTTCTACACATAATTAACTAATTTTTGTTTCATTTTCAAATAAACGGAAAAGAGACACCATGAGGAGATAGCCCTTGAGAACCTGCATTATATTAATCCACTGTAAAGGACTATAGGAATATAAAATATTCTCAAAAACACTTAAGATGTTGAATAATGAAAAACAAAACATTTCCTTTGCTCCTAAATGTACCTGCAAAACAGTCACTCTGTGATGGGAAAAGAGAACCACAGCTAACTTTGATGAAAGCACTTTGACAGAAGTTGGGACAATAAGCAGAGAGGCACCACTTGATAGAGCAACAAACATTTCCACAACAGAAGGATCAAAGGTCAGAGGTGACGCTAGAAACAAAACATCTTCTTGGGTGACGTCAAAAAGTACCCTAAGGCAAAACAGAATGTAGTTAGGAGAAACGTGAAACATTTGATAAATGCACATCACTGAAAAGTTTCTGAATGCTGACCACATGTTATTCTTCCCTTTTAGATTAGCCAAAATAGTGTTATCAAAACTCAGGAAATCTCTATGAAAAAACCAAAAGCATTTACCAGACACATTTTATCATCTGTAACTATTTCTGATGTGTCAACTTGGTTTGACAGAACCGCCATTCCCAGAATCCCTCTCTAGGGTGTGTCCCCTCAGGGAGGGCAACAAGGGATATTCCCCTGACAGGTGGAGAAAAGAAGAGGGACAGCTGCTGCCCGGCAGCACACACATCTCCTTTGAGCAGCTATTACATCAAACCCCAAAGTCCTTCATCAGCTGATCTTAAATTAATCAAAAGGGAGATTTTGGTGAGTTGCCTGAATTTACTTGGAAGGCTTTTAAAAGGAGTCTTAGGCCTTCTCTGAAGAAGAGACCCAAGCAGCAGCTGGGTCTGCAGTTAACATCCCTTCTCCCTGGATCTGATTTTGCTGCAGCAAGCCATGCCCACAGCTTTCAGGCTGCTCGTCATCCCCCTGACTGCTTGCCCTGTGGACTTTAGATTTGCTTAGCCAGCCCCCACAAATGTGTAAGCCAGCTCACTATAATAAATCCCTGATATGTCTTCCTGGTTCTGTTCCCCTAGTAGAATCTTTATTTTGTGGCACTTATTCAGTGATGCTTAACAGAGACCTCTGATGCCCTCTCCCAATATTTGGCGTATCTGAACAAAAAGAAAAACAAGAATATGTATGGTTAGGACAGTCAGTGTTGAGCCTATGGAACTGCTTTCCATTTGAACACACAAATACATCTAACAACAGGGATTACCTTAACTTCAAAAGAGCTTCAAGTATGGAATAAAGATTTTTAAAAATTTAACTATGGTATATTTGTGTCTCGGGTAAAATGAAAATTGATTACATGATAAAGGTGTAGGGGCTGAAAGTATGTGTTACCTTTCCTCTCCATCAAAAGGGTCATGGCCAACACTAGAGAGTTTAATAAGAGGAAAGTATAAAACATTTATTTAATCAAAGATTTACAAGACATGGGAGGCTTCCAAATGAAGACTCAAGGCAAAAGTGTTCATTTTTATGCTAAGATTCAATGAAGAGTAGACAGCATGTGGAAATGTAATTGGAGGCTGGGCTCAGTGGCTCAGCCTGTAATCTCAGCAGCATCTTGGGAAGCGGAGGTGAGCAGATTGCCTGAGTCCATGGGTTCCAGACCAGCCTGGGCAACTTGGCAAGATTTTGTCTCTACAATAATAAAAAAGTAATCCCGCGCCTTTGGGAGGCTGAGGTGAGTGGACTGCCTGAGCCTGCGGGTTCGAGAACCGCCTCGGCAGTGAGACCTCATCTCTACAATAAATCATAAAATAAAATAAAAATATAAAAAAATTAGCCGGGCGTGGTAGCACATGCCTGTACTTCCAGCTACCTGGAAGGCTGAGGCGGAAGGATTGCTGGAGCCCAGCAGGTCAACGCTGGGGTAGCCGTCCAGCCTGGACAACAAAGTGAGACTCCAACTCAAAACATAAACAAACGAAATGTGATTGAACAAGAGGAAATGAGCTTAAGAGTAATAGACTGAGAGGGAAAACCCTGAAAGGACTGTTTGTCCAGATTCTTCTTGGCCTCTATGTGTGGCATTCCATCCTCTTGGGTGCAGGGCAGGACACCTTCAGGAATGAGGACCTTCTGATCTACTTTCAGATAAAGTGGGTCAGAGAATTTCTTCATGGCCAGCTCTTACACAGAAAGGTGGGGGAAAGTTAGCATAATATTTCTAGGTTTTATGACTGGCTTTGGGGGAGAAGGCTCCTAATTTCTATGACCTGAGTCAGGAAGAAAGGGAGGCAGAAGGTCACAGAGAGACTTTGCTTTGGAAGGCCTTTCAATGTCCTCAGTTCAAGGTTCTCAGCATGCCCAAGTGCCATGCTTTGGAATACTGTTTTCTGGGCCCAAAAAAGACAACACTCAAACTTCAATTTGCAAAGGAATTGTTCCTCACAAATACTGTCTGGTTTCCTAGTTAGATATTTAGAGAAGAACAACCTTCCTAACAGGTTTCTAACAAGGCTTAAGCTCCGAAAATATTTGTAGTGTCTCAATTCTATGAACAAAAATAGGCAATCGTAAGCATACATGGAGGATACATGCTCCATCCATGTTCATTCCAAGAAAGCAGTTTAAGGTGTATTCAGTATGGGAAAAGGTGACAAAAGAGAAGAGATGGATTTTAAGGGAGGAAAAAGGCAGAACGGAACAATGTTCGAACATGCTACTTGTGAGGCTTAGTGCCAACACATGAAGCAGGTATGGTTATGTGAGGACCCACTCACAACTCCAGGGTTCGTATGAAGATTATTTTACACTAAAAACATTTTAGAACAACAGATGCAGAAAGAAACCTTCACAGAGCATCCCTTATCTGACTAAAAGCAGAAACTTCTAGGAGATAAGGCTGCCAAAATCTTCTTCTTCATAGTGCTTTTCACTCCCAGGAAGACCAAGAGTAAACCTACCATCCATCCCGCTCTGGGGAGAGTTTCATGGCCATGAAGAAGACAGAAAGACCACTGTACCTGTATTTGAGTTGGAGTCTCACTGTCACCCAGACTGGAGTGCAGTGGCACACTCCCGGCCACCACAACCTCAACCTGCTGGGTTCTAGCAATCCTCCCGCCTCAGCCTTCCAAGTAGCCAGAACTACAGGCATGCATTACCATGCCCAGCTAATTTCTGATTTATTGTAAGACGAGGTCTCACCAAGTTGTCCTAGTGGGTCTTGAAGCTGCGGGCTCAGGCAATCCACTTGCCTCGGCCTCCAAGTGCTGGGATTACAGGCTAAGCCACTGAGCCTTGCCCACAAACTTTCTTATCTCCTGTATGTTTCCCTGAAAACCCATTTGTTTTTCCTAAAAGTCCAGTTGTTCTTCCTATAGAAGCCTTTTCTCCCCCACACCTTTTCCCTATTAACTCAGGCATATAAGCATCTAATTTTAACCATTTAGGGAGCTACTTCTTTTGTAAACTGCTATGTGCATATAAATAAACTTTCTCCTTTTGTCTTATGGCAGTTTAATCAGCAGGCCCCCAGGCACAGCCTCAGAGGATAGGGAAAAAGTTCTCTCTCCCCTACTTTAAAATGGGAAGTTCAGCGAGGTTAAGTAACTTGTGCAAAGTCATAAACGTCAACTAATTCTTAAATATTTTAAAGATAGTTATCCTTACTTCAATAAATCAGACCAAGTCCTTTCCTAGCTGAGACTATTATGCTCTGTGGAGGTAGCAATGCCTCTTACCAACATAAGCAAGAACACTCAGCCTTGTCTCATTAACAGGTTGTTCTGGTAATATTTGGGGAATTAGCAAGAGAAATAAGATAGTTCTAAGGTATGCCTGAAATTGACTACTTCCTAGCTTAGTGATTTAAGTCTCAAACAAATGGAGACCTCATCTCAACAATAAATCAAAAAAACTAGCCAGGCATGGTGGCTCGCACCTGTATCAGCTACTTGGAAGGCTGAGGTGGAGGGTCACCTGAGCCCAGCAGGTAAAGGCTGCAGTAGCTGTGAGCGTGCCACTGCACTCCAGTATAGGTGACAGTGAGACTCTGACTCAAAAAAAAAGTTACAATCCACCAGCTTCCTCCAATACCAAAGAATGGAGACACCTTTTATCCTCATTGTCCTGGGCTATCTCAAGAAGAGGGAGTCCAGTCAGCATTTGAAATGCCAGTCCCTCCCATCTCGTGGCATCTTACTCCCTTGACAGCACTCTGACTATTTAATTGTTCAAAGCAACCCTTTCTACTAATTCCCTACCCTCAGCCTATAAATCTCTCCCATCTTAAAACAAAGACAAAAAACTACACCCAGCCCAGAGTTTCTTCTTTCTTTCCCATTAAAACCAGTTTCTAGACATTAATACTTGACTTTTGTTACCTCCCTTTCCCTCTCTCTCGTTCCTGTATCTCCAGCCTAATGTGCCCTTGACCTCGGGCACTTAGAAGTCACTAAAGACCATCCTATCAATTACAGACATCTTTCTCTAAGGCATGTAACTACCCTCTTTTAGACCTGTATGTGCTCTCCAATACAGTAGTGCACACTGAGCCCTAAAAATGTGGTTAGTCCACACTGAGATGTGTAAGTGTAAAATATATGCCAGATTTTGAAGATAATTAGTATAAAACAGAAATTTAAAATACTGATAATGCTCCTATTCATTACATATAGAAATAATGTTTTGGATAAGTTACGTTAAACAAAATATATTGGTAAAGCTAATTTCACTGAATTCTTTTTACTTTCAAGTCACTGAAAATTTAAAATGACATAAAGTTACATGTCTCATGAAGTTTCTATTTCTATTTGTTTCTTCCTTTGATATCCGAGGACTACAGCCCTATGGTTCACTTCTTCCTCTCTTTCTTCACAAATTGAGAATCTCAACTTTAGAGACTTCTAACCTCTTGACCATATCGGCAAGCCAAACTCTTGACCATATCGGCAAGCCAAACTCTGCAATACTACTTCAAGAGTCAAGATTTAAAAATGGAAATCTTTTGGCCAGATGCGGTGGCTCACACTTATAATCCCAGCACTTTGGGAGGCCGAGGTGAGAGGACTGCCTGAGCCCACGGGTTCAAGACCAGCCTGACGAGACCTCATCTCTACAATAAATCCGCAAATTAGCCGGACTTTGTGGCATGTGCCTGTAGTTTGGGCTACTTGGAAGGCTTTGCCTGAGCCCAGCAGGTAGGCTATGGTGGTCGTGAGTGTGCCACTGCACACCAGCCTGGGTGACAGAATGAGACTCTAACTCAAAAAAAAGGGGAAAAAAAGGAAATCTTTCCATGGCTCCCCATCATCTACCAGATTAAGTTCAACCTTCAACTGGGCGTACCAAGCTCCTGCCCTCCCACTCTTTCCCAAGCCCTGCTCTGACACATTCTAGCAGGACAAACTCCGTATGTCTCCCATAGCTCTGCCAGTACCCCTGCCAGGAAAATCTTTCCTTCCTTTTTCTTAATAATTAAGAAGAAATTTAAAAATTAAAAAATAATAATACTTAAGAAGCAAAGCTTGCTACCCTATCATTTATTTGATCTGTCCAGGCCTGGATAAAACAGGTGAAGACCTAATCTGCAGAGAATTAAGTTTAGATAGAGCTGAAACAAGACACTCAACTATTTAAGACTCTCCATTTTGGAACACAAATTATAAAGGACAAATATTTTAAATTCAGTGCATTTCCTTTAAAACACAAGTTCTAAGAAGGATTCACAGTATGAAACTTACTGGAAATGCTGGATATTTGGTACTATACACGCATGTGGCACTCGGACAATCTTTGGGATCCCCGTCGTCCCTGACGTATGTAGAACATAGGCCAAGCAATGCTTTACCCTCACATCCATGTGCTCTTCTGCTTTTCCTTCATTGATGTTCTCAGAACCTCTTCTGTTTTTTTTTTCTTTTTCATATTTCTCTTTCCTATCACTTAGCATCAAGTTCACCTCAACACCTTTCCAATGAAGTCTGAAGAGTCCTAGGTCATTATGTTCTGCTATACATGTACCACGGTTCAATAACGTTTCGTGGGAAGACTTGAATTTCTGTATTAAATGGGGGAGAGTTTACAATATTAATATGTTAAAAGATATTCTTTTTTTACATAGAAGTAATAAGAAATACAGTCATACCCACAGGAGATTGGTTCCAGAACCCCCTTGCATACCAAAATCAGAGGATGAGCAAGTCTTTTACATAAAATGGTACAGTATCTGCATATAACCTATGCACATTCTCCTCTGTAATCACCTCTAGATTACTTATACCTAATTTAAAATACTGTATATAGCGGTTATACAGTATTTTAAACTTTTAATTACTTTTACTGTTGTATTATTTTTTTTTCCCCAAATATTTTTAATCCACAGTTGGCTAAATCCTCAGATGTGGAACCCCAGGATACAGAGGGCTGACAATATTAATTCACTCATTCAACACAATTTTGGAGGGTTAGGAGGAATATTTGCTATGTATTCAGGGATAAAAAGACAAATAAGCCAGGCTCGGTGGCTCAGCCTGTAATCCCGTGCCTTTGGGAGGCTGAGGTGAGTGGATTGCCTGAGCCCGCGGGTTCGAGATCCGCCTGGGCAACTTGGCGAGACCTCATCTCTACAGTAAATCAAAAAATCAGCCGGGCATGGTAGCACATGCCTGTAATTCCAGCTACTTGGAAGGCTGAGGCGGAAGGATCGCCGGAGCCCAGCAGGTCAAGGCTGTGGTGGCCAGAAGCGGCCACTGCACTCCAGTCCGGGCGGCAGAGTGAGACTCCAACTCAAAAAAAAACAAAAACAAAAACAAAACATTAAGCATTCCAACAAAGGTACAGAATTGGGGGAGAGGGAGAAGGTGAGTTGTGTTGTTGACAGGAGATGAAATGGAAATCATAAATAACTTTGTCACTCAGCACTATAGATCTTATAGTTAAAGACCTTAACCCGTAAGTGATGGGATCCAATTGAAGGTGGCAATAGCATAGACTAGACTCTACTCCATCAAGGACAGAATGACAAGACTATGCTAAGTGAGAGTCATTCAGAGGATCTTTTGCAGCAATTTAGATAAGTTATATAGGCCTGACCTACTATTTTGTTGCAACAGAAGTGTTTAGAAAGGGTCCATGAGCAAAAATCATTAAGACATGGCGAATTTCTGGATAAGGAGTCAAAGAAGATTGTTGGATTTCTGGTTCAGGTGATTTGGTGGATAGAGATGAATTAATACAGAAGCAAATCTGGATAAAAGATGCTAAATTCAGTTTGTACGTGCTGAAAGCCAGGTTCCTCTGAATACACTGCTTTAGGTTGATTTTTTAAAAACAGCTTAATGAAACATAACAAGTTTTCATATTTAAAAAATCAATATAAATAACAAGAGAAAAAAGTCACAACCCAGAAGCTGTAGTGTTTTCTGTCTGTTATAAGTGTGTGTATTGGGGGGGATGTGTTATGGCCTGAAATATTAAAAAAATTAAATGCCCACATATTCTTAAGCCCTAACTCAAAACCATCCTTCCCCACTAAAATTTTACTAGATCTACTAGATTTACTTTGCTTAGGACAATATCACACTATGTAACCTTACAGGTTCAGGAGTATTAACCCTTCCTCTCCAACGATATTAAGGAAAGCTGGAAGGCTTACATACCAATGCCCTCCCAGTCACCCTGTCTCTAATATGGGGTTTCTCAACTTCAACACTTCTGACATTTTAGACCAGATCATTCTTTGTGGGATGCTGTCTTGTACACTGTAGGACTTTTAGCAGCATCCCTGGCTTCTACCCACTAGATGTCAGTAGAGGCCACTTCCATCATTATAAAAAAATATATATCTCTAGGTATTGCCAAATGTCTCCAGGGAGGCAAGACAGTCCCCAGTTGGGAATCACTGCTCTAGCAGATGGTAGGCATACATATAATATGCATATACATAATAAATGCTTACTGACTGTTCCTGTGTTAACTGAAGGAAGACACACCATTACTGAAATCATGGAATAGGAAGCAAGAGACTTTTACAGGATTTTGCTATGTACACAATTCCTTACTATCTGCAATCATAAAGAATACCTTGATATTTACAAATGTTACTCACACCCAGCCACCTCTTTTATAACATTTTTTTTTTTTTGAGTTGAAGTCTCACTCTGTCACCCAAGCTGGAGTGCAGTAGCACACTCACAGCCACTGCAGCCTCGACCTGCTGGGCTCAGGCGATCCTTCCACCCCAGCCTTCCAAGAAGCTGGAATTACAGGCACGTGCCACCATGTCCAGTTAATTTCTTGATTTATTGTAGAGATGAGATCTCACCAAGTTGCTCGGCTGGTATCAAACCCGTGGGTTCAGGCAATCCTCTCACCTCAGCCTCCCAAAGTGCTGGGATTACAGGCCACGCTCTTGACCTTTTTATAACATTTGCAACAAAGTTGCTCAGAAAAATAAAGGTTGCGTCCCATTTCAGTTTTGCTTACTTATGAACAAAAGAATAATCAATTTGAGGAACACAGGAGAAAATGTTGGCCAAATACTGATGTTTAGTTCAAAAACATTTCTTAACCAAATTAATACTTCAGTTGTCTCTTTCTAAAAGCCTTACTCTAATACACATGATTCTCTAGCAAGGCCCCCATATCTCTCAAGCTCTTGACACTTCTTATCCCTATAAACATAACACAGAATGTATTTATGTTACCATCCCCACACACAAATTGGTTCATATAGAAAATGGACACAAAAGAGGCTGAAGTGCTAAATTGAATATATTTTCTTTTTTTATGACTGGAGTGCCACCCAGTCTGGAATGCAGTGACATTATCACAGCTCATTGCAACCTTGACTCTGGGTTCAAGCAATCCAACCGCCTTAGCCTCTCAAGTAGCTGGAACTACAGGGGCGCACCACCACAACCAGTTTATTTCTCTGTTTTGTAGAGATGAGGTCTATGTTGCCATTGGCTGGTCTTGAACTCCTGGTCTCAAGTGATCTTCCTGCCTTGGTAAAGCAACATTTTATAAACAAAAAATAAATAAAAGCGAACATGGGATGCATCTTGCTGAACATACAATACCAACTTCTACACCCAAGTAGTATTTCTTGGCTACATCTTTGGTTGGTAGTTGTAATGTTTGGAGATGCCGAAAGAGGCACAGGACAAAGGGCCGGTATAAACCAAGTGTTTACTGGGGGAGAAAACTCCTGGGTGAGGTCCCGTGGTCCAAGAAGATGGGGCCAGGGCAGTCGTGCCCAAGGAGGGGCAGCTTAGGTTTTTAAGGGTGCTGTATCTGGGAGGGTGTTGGGGGCGGCAGCGAAGTGGGGAGACAAAGTGTCACGTCCGGCATGGGCTGGAAGCGTCACGTCTGGCGTGGGCTGGAAAGTCCCTGTCTGGCCCTTCTGGGCAGCTGGCGGCAGGTTCCGGGTAGCTTCCAGCAAGGTATGTGGATGTGGGCTCGGGGTGGAGGGGCGCATAGGGGATCGGTGGCTGGAGGGGCAGATGGGGGAAGGTGGGTGCTACTTTCCTCCGAACCTAACAGTAGTCACTTAAGAATTAAAAAAATAGCTGAGCTTTCGGGGTTTAAGACCAGCCTGGCAACTTGGTAAGACCTCGACTCTATAATAAATCAAAAAATTAGCCAGGCATAGTGGAACACGCCTGTGGTTCCAGCTACTTGGAAGGTTGAGGCGGAAGGATCGCTTGAGCCCAGCAGGTAGAGGCTGTGGTGGTCATGAGCGTGCCACTGCACCCCACCAGGGTGTCAGAATAAGACTCTGACTCAAAAATAAATACATAAATAGGCCTGGTGCAGTGGCCTATGCCTATAATCCCAGCACTCTGGGAGGCTGAGGTGAGAAGATCGCCTGAGCTCACAGGTTTGAGACCAGACTGAACAACTTTGTGAGACCTCATCTCTACAATAAATCAAAAACTTAGCCAGTCATGGTGGTGAATGCCTGTAGTTCCAGCTACTTGTAAGGTTGAGGCCTAAGGATTGCCTGAGCCCAGCAGGTTGAGGTAGTGGTGGCCGTGAGAGTGTCACTGCACTCAAGCCTGGGTGACAGAGTGAGACTCCAACTCTAAATAAATAAATAAAAATAAATTTAATTTTCCAGAAATATCTGCTCTAAATGGCAGTCTCTCTTTTTTTTTTTTTTGAGTCAGTCTGAATCTCACTCTGTCACCCAGGCTGTAGTACAGTGGCATGCTCATAGCCACCACGGCCTCTCTCTGCTGGGCTCACACAATCCTGGTAACTGGAACTACAGATGTGTGCCACCATCAGCTAATTTTTTGATTGATGTAGAGATAAGGTCTTGCCAAATTGAACAGGTTGGTCTCAAATCCATGGGCTCAGGCAATCCTCTTGCCTCCAACTCCCAAAGTCCTGGGATTAGAGGCGTGAGCCACTGTGCCAGGCCCAGTCTCTTTTTCAAAATTTAAGCTAGGTTATAATTTTTTACTGTTGCTGACCACCGTAACTGCTATAAATATACAAAGATAAAAGTTTTCAATATAAAATTTTTCCAGTATAGGAAATACTTCAGAATGCAAAAGGAGATTCAAAACAATGCAGAATAAATTATCATAAGGCTAACAGACACATTCATACTATTGAGCAGTGGCTCTCAATAGAGTGTAGGGGGCGGAAGGTTTCTTCTAGGGATATTTGGCAATGTCTGGAGACATTTTTGATGTCACAACTGTGAGGTACTACTGACATCTACTGAGTGGAGGACAAAGGAACTGCTAAACCTCCTATAATGTACAGGATACCACACAAAACAGTTACGTGACCTTAAATGTCTATAGTGAGGAGACTGAGAAACCCTGCCAGATTTAGCAAATTTAGGAATCAAGATGCAGGGAGGAGGGAACCCTTCAATTGGAAGATAAATGGAATCCAAAAAACAACTGAAATATCCAGACTTACATTCATTTGTTTTTTCTCAACAAGTATATACTTTAGATGACATTTCTTCATAAAATAAGTTGATAATGATGGTGAGGAATCTGGATCAATAGGAACATAGGCAGCAGGGACCTGGAGAATTCTAAAGAAACAAGCACAGAGTCAGCATAGAATGTCTGTTGAAAATCATCTTAAGGGGCAACCCCTTTGGGTCCCCTCCCACTGTGGGAGCTTTTCTGTCCTCAATAAATCCTGCTTTCTCACTTAAAAAATAAAATAAAATAACCATCTTAAGCATTTCTATTTCTCTGTGCACTGTACTATTTATCAGAAATGCCCAATTTTTCACTGACACATCTTTGGTTATAAATATTGTTATTTTATCTTGCTGTTAACAAATATACTGAGTATTTACTACATTACATTCTCATCACTTAATGAAAAGAAACACAATTTTTGCAAGTCAATGTGTTACAGTATAATATGCCAGGATAACTGGCTACTACTAAAATACAAACAGGTAGCAGAGTCTATTTCAATGTTCATCTGTCTATGTAAGATAACATAAAAGGGGCTAAACATCCACATGCAACTTATTCATATGTAGATTATTATAATCTGCATACTGCAAAAGATGTATTTCCCCAAAAACAGCCAGGGATGGTGGCTCACGCTAGTAATGCCAGCACTTTTGGAGGCCAAGCCTGGAGGATCGAGCCTAGGAGTTTGAGACCAGCCTGGGCAACACAGTGAGATCTCGTCTCCACCCAAAAAAAAAAAAAAAAAAGTTTTTAAATTAGCCAGGCATGGTGGCATGTACCTGTAGTCTCAGCTACTCGGAAGGCTGAGGCAGAAAGATCATCTGAGCTCAAGAGGCCAAAGTTGCAGTGAGCCGATAGTGCCACTGCACTCCAGCCTGGGTGACAGAGTGAGATTCTGACTCCAAAAATTGAATAAACAAACAAACAAATAGAACAGTTACTTCCAAACAAACAAGCAGCTACTTCCAATATAGTGTATAGATTAAAAAATATAAATTAACTTAAAGTAATATTAAATTTATAGTTCTAAAAATATTACCCTAAAATCCAAGAGGGTAAGTTTATCCCAGGTTGGCAGTAGAGACCAATTTCCCGAATTCCTTTAAATTCACAATGTAATCGCAGAAAATGTGATAATTCTGAAGCAACGTTAATCAAAGTTTTGTAGGTGTAATAAACTGGAGGCTGGTTGTTGCACTCATCAAAACATACAGCAACTTTGTCCAAATAAAGGGAGGCAGCCTGATGCACCAATTCCTGAAGAGTCATTTCACTGGAGTCCATCTAAACATCAATTGGTAGCAGAGAAATATATATACACACACACACACACACACACAGAAATGTTGAGGGGGAAGGGTTTTTAGGGAGCTTGGTGGAAGGACTGAGAGAAGCTTCTCTACAATCTTCTCTCACAAAAATAATCTTATCAAAAACACATAAATGAAGAATCTCTGAACTTATAAAACATCTATGGTAACTTTACTGAGAACAATGACACTGAAAATCAATTTGATACAACCAACCCATGCTGGTTCAGAGCTTGAAAAAATTTGGAAGAAGAGTGATATACATAGATGAGAATGAAACTGGTAAAAATATAGACTTCTCAACCGGGCTCGGTGGCTTAGCCTGTAATCCCGCGCCTTTGGGAGGCTGAGGTGAGTGGACTGCCTGAGCCCGCGGGTTCGAGACCCGCCTGGGCAGCGAGACCTCATCTCGACAATAAATCAAAAAATCAGCCGGGCGTGGTAGCGCATGCCTGTAATTCCGGCTACTCGGAAGGCCGAGGTGGAAGGATCGCCGGAGTACAGTAGGTCAAGGCTGCGGTGGCCGGGAGCGGCCACTGCACTCCAGTCTGGGCAACAGAGTGAGACTCCAACTCAAAAAAAACAAAAAAACAAAACAAACAAAACAAAAATATAGACTTCTCTCTCAATTGACCACAAAACAAAGAAGAAATATAGTAAAAATTAATCAATAAAACCAAACTACACTTAATTTTTAAAATTTCTTTTCAGTTACTGCTACAGATGATTAAGATATGGTGGTCAAAATCCTGAGAAGAGAAAGAAAAGAAAGAGGCCGGACTTCGTGGCTCAGCCTGTAATCCCAGCACTTTGGGAGACAGAGGCAAGTGGATTGTCTGAGTCCCGGGGTTCGAGACCCACCCAGGCAACTTGGCGAGACCTCGTCTCTACAATAAATCAAAAATTATCCGGGGGTGGTAGTGCATGCCTGTAGTTCTGGCTACTTGGAAGGCTGGGATTACAGAAGGATCGCCAGAGCCCATTAGGTCTAGTCTGCGGTGGCCGGGAGCGGCCACTGCACTCCAGTCTGGGCAACAGAGTGAGACACCAATTCAAAAAAAAGAAAGAAAAGAAAAGAAAGAGAGAAAATCCTGGTACATGTACACTGTGGAAAATTATTCAGCCATCAAAAAGAACAAAATAATGTCTTGCAGCAATTTGGATGGAATTGGAGACCATCATTCTAGGTGAACTAACGCAGAAACAGAAAATCAAACACACCCTATTCTCACTTACAAGTGGGTGCTAAACCAAGGATCTACAAAGACACAGAGTAGTATGATGGAAACCGGAGACTCAGGAGGAGGGAGAAAAGGGGTGGAGGGACCAAATATCACCGATAAGGTACAATGTGCACCCATGGGGGTGGAGGGTACACGTAAAGCTCAGACTGAAACTATCTGAACCCCCTAAAGCTATTGAAATAAAAAATGTAAGTTTTCCTCAGACATACAAATCATTATTATATAAGGAAAAATGTCTATAGCATGCAATAAAATTATGGGAAATAGGTTTACTTCCCAACATACAGTTAGCATGGAAGAGTACCTTCCCATCTATGCGATAACTAAGATGTCTTTATATTTCTATTTTATATTTTTGAGGTGGAGTCTCACTCTGTTGCCCAGACTGGAGTGCAGTGGCTGCTCACAGCCACCCTAGCGTCGACCTACTGGGGTCAAGTGAACCTTCCGCCTCAGCCTTCCAAGTGGCTGGCACTATAGGCGCGTGCTACCACGCCAGACTAATTTTTTTTTTTTTTTTAATTTATTGTAGAGACGAGGGCTCACAAAGTTGCCCAGGCTGGTCTCGAACCTGCGGGCTCAGGCAATCCTCTCGCCTCGGCTTCCCAAAGTGCAGGGATTATAGGCTTGAGCCACTGCGCTCGGCCTGTTCTTATATTTTTAATTTCCGCTTTCCCAGTGGCTGCTACAGAAATGTCTTATCGTCTACAATTTTCACTTTCATTCACTGAATCATAAATACATTACCTCCATAAATACATTACTTATTAGATGCCCAAACATTTCTGGGGCCTTATATGGGAAAAAAAAAGAAAAAGCAAAGTCTGGTAAGCAGATTGTATTAATACATGTAATGAGGGCCGGGCGCGGTGACACAGCCTGTGATCCCAGCACTTTGGGAGGCCGAGGCCAGGGGATTGCCTGAGCCCACAGGTTCGAGACCAGCCTGGGCAACTTCGTGAGCCCTCATCTCTACAATAAATCACAGTGGCCGTGAGCGTGCCACTGCACTCCAGTCGGAGAGACAGAGTGAGACTCCAACCAAAAAATATATATATAAAGGGAATGAGGGGGCAGAGGGTCGGAATCACGTGACTCGGCAGACTTCACCCAGGTCGGGGTTGGTCTCCACCGCCCAGCCCGCCAGACTCCACTGACTCGATCGGAGGCCGGGCAGTGGTCCTCAAGCCGAGCAAACCTGCGCAGGTGCAGCCTCTGGCCTCGTCGCACCTCGCCTCCCTCACACAGAGCCCCGCCGGGCACCGGGTTCTGCCCCGACTCATTCAGCAGCTCTCGTGGGGAAAATCCGAGCCCACAGCCCATCCGGGACACTTCTCACTGCTAAGGAGCAGTTTCCCAAAAGCCGTAAACCTACTCCGCAGCGCGACCTCTTACGTCCTCTTCCGCGTCGCGTCGTGACGTCACGCGAGCGACCCCGGGCACGCCACAGCGCCCCTTCTTAAAGCTGTGGCGCCAACTGGAGAGAGCTGTCGGGGAATTCTGTTGGCTTTGGGTGGTCTTGGACGGGGTTTGCAAGGGCTTTGGGGCTGACAAGCTCGGAGCAGTATCCTTTCCTATCCTGGAAAGGCCGGGCGCGCTGGCTCACGCCTATAATCCCAGCACTTTGGGAGACCGAGGTGAGAGGATTACCTGAGCCCTTGGGTTCGAGACCAACTTGGTGAGACTTCATCTCTATAATAAATAAGAAAATTAGCCGGGCGTGGTGGCACGCGCCTGTAGTTCCAGCTACTTGGAAGGCTGAGGGGAAGGATCGCTTGAGCCCGGCAGGTTGAGGCTGCGGTGGCCGTGAGCGTGCCACTGCCCTCCAGCCTGGGTGACAGAGTGAGACTCCGACTCAAAAGAAAAGAAAAGAAACTCTGGACAAAACTCTCTGATTTGGTGTCGCAGACTTCTCGTTCTTTTTTTTTTTTTTGAGTTGGAGTCTCACTG